GTAAATGTGAAAAAAGGATTTAATAAAAATAATTATGTCCACTTTATTCTGTCTGGAATTAACTAATTTTCCATAACGTCTACGGGACCATCTGACCAAGTCAGTAATCATATCATACTTACTTCATTGATAATTCATACCACCACCTTGATAACCAACCTCATTGCTCAACGCAAGCAAAATGCTCAATTAAAAAAAATAATAGTAATTGAAAACTTCCTCATTTTTACTAAGTCAGTGATAAAATGCGTAAAATTGCAGTAAATCGTTTGGATTCCACAATTCCAGTAGCCGTTAGCGATGGTGTAGATAAACACAACGGTATAGTGTGATTGGAAGCCGGCGGTGTTCGGCGGCTATTGGTTTCATAATGATTGGTTGGGACTCGGGTGTTAGTGCTCGCGAAGCGGGAGACAGAAAAAGGAATTTTTTGATTTTGATTCTTCTTAAGATCTTTTTAAGAGTAGGAATGGGACTTCTATTCAATCTGTGGGTGTTTCTAATAATTTCTTGTTCAATAACCTAAGTTATGAGTAAACTAACAATTGTTGGTTGCTCACGTACACAAAGTTCTATTAGTTTCGAGTCCTGCTATGTCAAAACTAGTGGAGTTTTCTTAATACGTCCACGTGAATAACCCGCAATGTTTAGTTGATTCAGTATGTCTTACGATAGTTATTATAAAGACTAAGTGAGTTATGGTTAAAAATCAAGTGTCAATGCTGTTGTGACATCGTTCTCGAAGAATATATTTGACTTTATTCTGTATCTGCTATGTTTGAAGGATAAGTAGGCCATTCAATGTTGTCTAGCCTGCTTTAAAAAATATATTTTCATTTTAGACCTTATTGACATTCTAGTTTGATAGGAAATGGTTACAAGTCTCATTGAGATTACGTTAAACTGTTTAAGAAAAGGATGTAGTTACTTAATGCAATAAAATCTGTCATACATTAATGTTGTGTGATATTTAAACAAATTGTATGTTTAAAGGATATGAGTAACTCACATAGCCTTGACATTTCAATAACATTAATTGTCTTAATGTTAATATTTTATGTTAATAGCATGCCAGTCTAAATAAAAATCATATAGCATTTGGAGTAGTTCTTAATGTTACTTTTTACTATGAGAAGAGAAAATCACATCGGGCTTTGTAAAGCGCGTATGACAATTTTTTTTATTAATCTATAATCTTTCTGATATCGACTTCAAGCTTGATAGCCAAAGATGTATATCTAAACAATAGATTTAAAAATAAAGGCATATTACCGTCTACAAAATAACAAATCGCTCTTGCTTGTGTGCTGCCTAACCTCAGTTTTCTACCGCAACTATGTGTTAGGCCCATGGTTAAACCCCCTGGGGCGTCAAAGATTTCAAGTTTACCACATGTCGAGTTTTACTTACAAACATAAAAACACAAGAAAATGTGCAAATTATAGTAATAACAACAGTGTAAATTACATAGTATCCGATAATTTGACACTTGGCCTCCTTTATGGTAACGTTTTTGCAAATTAGTTTCATTTTGTAACGTAAACGCACTAGCCCCCTAAACCCCTTCACCTGGTAAAAATGATAAGCTATTTTTTCCTTTTACTACATTTACATCTTTTTTTTTATGGGATAAGCCGGTAAACGAGCAGACGGATCACCTGATGGTAAGCAATCAGCGTCGCCCATGGACACCTGGAACACTAGAGTCGTTACTAGTTCGTTACCGGCCTTTTGGGATTAGGAATTTGAGGATTGTTGGGGATTCAGGGATTGGCGAAAAGGGGGGAGGGTAATTGGGCATCCGGTAACCTCACTCACACGACGAAACATTCCAATCCCATGTTGAGATGCAGGTCACTTAACCCCTGGAAATTATTGTGTAAACTTATAGTTCATGGTTTGAGGCTCATATTCAGTAAACACCTAGTAGCTGATACAACCGCGCTCGGGTCACGGCATTTTAGCTGAGCACTGGCCTTTTTGCACCGTGTACATAGTTCTGTATTTTTTATTTTTTTTGTTTTTTAATTTCATTTCTGTAACGGTACAAAATAAACTGTTTGTCTTTTATTCGTATATTATGATGATGATGATGATGATGACGACACATATTTTCTGAAAAATAACACTCACGCTGTCTTCACGAAAAACAAGGAAACACAACGGTTTCAAAACAAAGATTAAACCAGATTACGACACAAAAACGTTCATAGACATTTTGCTTACTTGCAAAGACAGCTACTACTTAGAACTCATTCATCAGATACCAACAAATAAAATCTAAACTGCTAAAATAAATGTACTTCTATAAAAAACTAACAACAAATTACTAAGAACCAGTTTGCTACCCTAAATAATGTATTTGACCGTACACAAGGGGTCATGTGCGTGCGTGACAGAATTTTGATCTTCTTTGAAATGGATTACTGAATCATTGGTTTGCACTAGTATGGCTACTTACTTGAAGTCACCGAGATAAGTAAATTGTGATTTGATTTTAATATTCATTATTTAATTTTTGAC